GAAGGCAGGCAGTGCAATGTTCATTTGTGTGGTCCACTGCAGCTTGTATACAATACATGTGTGTGCTACAAACACCTACCTGTATGTCCCAAGCCTTGAGCGTTCCCTCCCTATCAGCTGTGACTAGATATTTTCCACAGGGGCTGACAGTCATAACAATAGACCCCAGGTCTCCGTTGTGAGCTGTGAATTGTCCTACCAGACGGCTGTGGACGGTGTTCCAGAGTCTGACCACACCTGATCCTCCACAGGACACTAAGTCTGCACCACCTGATGGAGATGAAGGAATACACATATATAAGTTTGTGTTTAAGTTTAAAAGCAAACATGTAGCATCAATAGCAAAAACATGAAAAAGCAGAATGCGAATAACAGGTATAACACACCTAAAAAAGATCAGCAACACCTTTCTGCATGCTTTGTCTGTGTGTTGATCTACAGAAAATCCTTTGCTATCTGTACAAGCACTGATGATGTACATATGTTCTTATTTTAGACAGCACGGCAGGGAACTTGAATGTTAGGAGCTGATACAGTATCAATGAAGGAAGCAGGTCTGACCGCCCATAGACCATCAAGGGGCCAGTCTTCCAGCCAGAGGCAGAGATTGTGCTTTCGCAAAAACATACGGCGCCTAAGCCAAAATGATGTCAAACTCTCCTGCAACAAAGCCTTTTCCCAATAGCAGAGAGGATGCATAGACACAGAGTCAAAAAGTGGCAGCTGACCAGGTGTCATCTGGCTGTAAAATGAGTTCATAGACCTCATAGATAGATACACTGCTCTGCTGACAACATGTACTGCCAGGCGAGGTCTCAACAACACACACACACACTCAGTCAGTCTGGCAGCAGGCATAAAGGCCAGGGTCCAGAGGCTGATCATGTGTTTTTTTTTATTTATTTTTTTTAGCAAGCTGCTAAACACCTACAGCAAGCAGAAGCAGCAGCTACTGTCGGAGTAACACTGAGAATAAATCAAACTGGAATAAAAACCCAAGCAACCACAGGAAAGTTAAAATAAAGAAGGAGAGAAAAGTAAACTTCAGAGTTTGAGTTGCTGCATATGAAAAGTAGTTAAAAACTGGAAAACTTGAAGCGAACTCAACACATCAAACAATCATTGATGTGTAGCTACTGTACAAGTTACCCGGAGCCTTACTGTCTTTGTAATGTGTAAACATAATACACACGTATCCATGTATTTGCAGCTGTGTATTTCAGCAACAAAAACAAGGCTGTATGCAGCGTATCTGACCTTTAAAAAAGGCTTTTGATTGTGCAACTATTTCAACTCTCAAGTAACTTCACTGTGTTTGCATAGACTGTAACTCTTCAAATCGCAGGCTCTAACAGATCAACTCAAACTATATATACAAAACAGGCAAAATATACGGATGGGAAACTAATTAAAGGACAAACCAGAATGAATGAGTGGAGAAACATGACAGGACATTGAATGGGTTGATGAAATGATGTGAATCAATTGAACACCTATGGGAGATTGGAGAGGGTTCGAGAGACTAGGAGAGGAATCTCCTTTGAATTGGCACCCATCTGTGTGTTTGAAAAGACTTTGACCTCAAAACAAAAAATCGAGTTGGGAAGTTTTAGTACCTATAATAAAACTAGTAAGTCGTAATAAAGAATTTATTTAGATAAGAATTTGCTTTGTAATAACTGCTTTTATTTTGGGATAGCCCCTGAGGCGATGCTACCTAACATTGTTATTCAAACATTATGCAGTGCTAGTAAGGTTGATAAGGATTACACAGTTGCAGTTTAGTTTTCTATGTATCACCTGTAGCTGCAGCCGCAGGTGTGCGCCCTGGTATGAAGAACAATCTAGTGATGGCAATGGAGTTATCAGAGTCTTCTTTGCCATTCGCACCAAGGTGAGAATCGGGGAAATGACCTAGAAAAGTTGAAGACAGAGAAGAGTCAAAAGATAAAGAAAAAATAAGCAAAGAGAGAACAAACAGAAAAGCAAGAAACATTAACTTAAAAATGGCAAAATAATAAGGTGTTGTTTGACTTATTTGCATCTGTGTGTGAAGGTGAGACCTAGCTGTGTCTTGCCTTCTTTGTGTTGAGCATATGGCCGCAGTTTCCTTAAAGCTTTTTCTGTGCTGTTGTTCCACACTATAATCTCTCCATCGTAACTTCCTGCACACATCAGAAGGGAGACGAAACAAAGTGCAAGCGACTTGTGATTAACTCTTAAAAACACATTGCTCTTTGGCATTCTTGTCTCGGCAAGAGGCTGCAAAAACTGGCTTTTTTATATTAACCAACAGAAAATGTCACATTCTTAAAAGAAATATTAACAATTTACACAAACTTTCTCTCAACACACACACACTTTTACTTTCTTCATGCTGCTGAATCATGCAAGTCAGACACTAAAATCACTTTAAAAATGATAAAGCTCAACATCTGTCCCCAGCTACCATCTGTTCCACCACTCAAACCTTAATGTTCACCTCAAGAGAAAGTCCTTTTCAAACAATCTACATTATATATATAAGAAGGTGTGTGTGTGTGTGTGTGTGTGTGTGTGCATGTGCGTGTGTTTATCATATAAGGCAGGAATCTCATCAGGTGGCTCGACAGTTGAACAGCAGGAGTTAATGAGATATGTGAAGAGTGAGTTAGCTATGGGAGGTGTGTATGTGTGAGCAATAGGAGGTATAAAGTTTATGAGAGAGTGGGTCGCCTGCATTATTCATGCCGCCCAGGGCCAGCTTCTGTATTTCAACCGACTTTTATCATGCCATGTGTGTGTGCGTGTGTGTGTGAGATGGAAAAAGGGCGTGAGGCAGAGTAGATATCTCTATCATCTACACGATGATGAGCTTTAAAATGGGGCTGGATTAACATAACCCTCATTAACTTTTAAACATGCTCTAATATGCTAAAGTCTGGCCATTTCTGACAACACACATTAACACCACAACACACAGGCCTATAAGCACTGGGACACATGTTCATTAACGGAAGAAGACATACATGAAACTACGAACGAGATCACACTAGCAAACTCTTACCTCCTTTTTTATTAAAAGAGCACTTCACCAGTTTAGCATTGCACTCGTATAACATCATCACACTGACAGTGGAAAGTTGAACAAAAGAATAGACAAAAGATGTCATGTTTCTTATTCCACGCTTTCTTCGTGAAAACCTGGAAGCTAATTTAGCCATGAGCCACTAGCCTCAGAGATAAGACGCGGGCTAGGTTTGGTAAACTGAAGACTTTTTTTCATTTTCAAACTTAAGTCACTTGAGGACATTTATCAGACTTCAAAAGACAAACGGCTTTATATAAGTTTTTTCACATACACAGCCGTGTTCCTTAAGTCCTGTAAACATACTTTGATGTGTAAAACTGGTAAATTTCCCCTTTAACTCGCAAACTTGTCAACAAAGAAATGCGAAACATACAGTATGTATAAATCAAAGCATCCACTGCTTGAAAAAGATGTCACTGCTGTCACTCAGTATGCTGATTTCCACGCTTGCATTTCCATTTCTAAAACATTTTGGCCATCCATCAGAGTTCAGATGAGTTGGTCCACGGTCGCTTGGAAGGTGTTCAGCCATGGAGGATTAAGGGATCCGAGGAAAAGGAGGAGTGAAAAGGGGGAGGTAGTGACTGAAGGAGGTACACAGGACCCCTGTGTGCATGTACCCTGCTGTTTGTGTGTGTGTGTGTGTGTGTGTGTGTGTTTGACAGTGTCTGTGTGCGAGAAGCCAAGCGGAACCTAACGAAGACTCTGAATATGGATGAGGAGGCTTCAGTCCCACATCAGCCAAATGTTCCTGCTGCAACTTGATTCAACTTGAGACACAAACAAAAAGATGCATGTACAAAAAAATACACACACAAACACACAGTCCTGAGCATGTGTGCGTCCAACAGAACTTTAAATTGACTTTTGTCACTGGTGGCCATGATGCCACCACTGCTTTCGCTTGGCAGCACTCGCACATAATTTGGCAACACGCTCGCTTTGATGTGAAACAGCATTACTCACTGCAACCCTGAAGAAATATGATGGCAACTGAAATGAATGCGTCATTGCTTTTAGACGCCGTCTTTGTGCTCGGCGGATTTGGGGAAGAACGAATTAGCAAAAAATAGTTAATGTGGAAAATACTCCACATAACCACTTTTTGCCAAGATAAGTGTGGAAACGTAGGAAATCGGGACGTGAATGTGATTCATCCTTTTCTGATATTCACCCAAAGGCCAGAGAAAGAGAGAGCTACTCACAGGATATTAAAGCGTAGGAGGAATTTATGAATGAATTACATCATTTTATGATTTTTTTTAGTAGTTGACCTGGATATACCAGTACCTCTGACCACACAAAATCATTCCAAACACTAAAAGGTCACAGGTTTGATACCCACAGAGTTCATGTCAATTCTACAACAAAAGTATTATCAGGAAGAGTGCTGCATTCTAGCTTATAACATAAAATGCTGCTTATGAGGTGAATCATTTGCATTCATCAGATTGCCAAGACCTCAAGAGGCATCAATATTGTGAACCGACTGGCTGAATGACGGAAAGAAATGACAGATAAAGACGGATTTTTTTTTTTTTTGCAAACACTCCGCTGGTGAACTACAAAATATTCAATCAAAGCTTTTGTTTTGTCAGTTTCTTGCATCAACTGGTAACAAAAGCACTCACTGATTTGGTGTGAGGCCCAAAATACAACCTAACTGTCACATTTCAGAGACCTATGCAAATAAACACACCAATATAAATCATTTTATCTCATCTTAGCATATACAAACCCCTTCCCCTGCAGCCGTACAACACACACACACACGCTTAAAAGACAGAAAGTACTATGTCTCATTTCCCCTTACTCCCACTGAGAGAGCTCTAATAAACATAATTTAAATTGGGCATTTGGATTAAATTGGAGGTGCAGCATGGAGCTGTGTGTGTGTGTGTGTAGGCGGGGGAAGAAATGCGGCAGGTTAACTAGGGAGACGAGGTAAAAAATAAACAGAAGTGAACGGGGAGTGTCAGTTAGAGGCTGAAGAAAAGAGAGGAAGCAGGCAGAGAGAGGAGACGAAACACACCGACAAAGAAATTGAGGAGCAAACTTTTGAAGAAGTTTCCAAGTTCACAGAGTGGCTCCTGAATTGTGCTTTTGTTCCAGCTCCAACTATTCATTTCCTTCCAAACCATTTCTTCCTCCAGCTTTGAGAACACCCACTCTTATCTACCTTTCCACCTCCATCCCTCACTTTATCGCTCTCTATACTTATCTCTAGGGTTGATGCATCTCAGAAGGCCAGAGAAAGGTCTGCAGTTTGTGTCTGCTCGCTGCTCGCACAGACTGGTAAACTGAAACTGAACTTTCAATACGTGAGCCAAAGTGATACAACTTTACAAACTGAAGAGCGTACTGGAGAAAATTGGGTGCAGGGTGTTTGTAGTTTGATGGTTATAGAAGTGGACCAGTGATTGGAAGATTTCCAGTTTAATCCCCCAGGCAGAAAAATGTGATGAGGCGCCTTGCTGGTATTTCAAAGTATGCTGTCTTCACATCTAAAAAGACCTTAACAGACCAGGTCATTCTGATGATCCTTTGTTAGGATGTTGATTTATTCATGTAATGGGAACGTTCTTTGTTTCTCTGGTTAATGGTGGTAGTCAGTCTCAAATTGCGCAATGTGACAGCTGTGCAAATGGGATTAAGTGCCACAGGGTTAAGGGTCCACAAAACCATAAAAAAATAAATAAAAAAAATGTAAAATCATGAGCACAGACTTTAGAGACCAATTCCAAAGATTGTATGAATTGAGTAGTGGAACATAAAGTGACTGGATGAAGAGAAAGCCAGAGGCACCCAGTGTTTCTGCTAGTGCTGGTGTGATTTTAGGACTCTATACTGATGTGTGAGTCCATGCAATGACCAGTTGCCTGATCACTTTGATGGTAATTCTGGATAATGTTATGCAATGTGTAATTTTATTTGCTTCTTCCCCACCAAATGTTTTCTGCAACAACTACTGGAAAAGGAATAGTACGGAGGTAATAAATACAGACACAACAACACCCTTCCCTGTTTGTCCAACCTACTACTTCTGAATACAAAAAACAACAAAAAACAATAACAGGACAAAAACAGAAGAGGACATTTGTCGGCCTGAATAATTGTCCCTTCGAGCTCTCTGTGGGCGGTGTTTACCTATGGTTATATTAGAGAGAGAGAGAGAGAGGGAGGGAGAGAGAGAGGTAAAGTGAATTAAGAAGTCTAACATTTTACTAAAAAAAAAACTTTCCGAACGCTAGCACTTAGCAGTACTGTATGTGTATCTGTAATCTTTTTTATCATATATTATATACTGTTTGACCTTTCCAGTTCACCTGCTTCTAATGCAGCCCTAATTAAGAATTTATTAGGACAGAACATGCCAATTAATAGGCTCTAATATGTAAAGGTTTCGGCCTGTGGTGGAGGCAAATGACAGCCCAGAGTATAGAAAAAGGAAGCTGTTGTTCCTCTAAGGAGTAAAATACTGATATATGAAGAAAAAAGACGGCAAAAAGCATCTTAAATACTGTACCTTTCAGCAGTGTGGCGCACACTAACAAAGGGCAATGGGGTCTGGCAGACCTGCTGTATGTTTCTAATTAGATCCTTTTCAGTTCACTTACGCCTATTTTGTACACACAGTATATCATCCAATTTTACAGTATTTATAATGTGGATTTGACATTTAACCAAAAGTTCTAAAATGCGGGGTGTTCACAAACTTTTGAGTTCTCGTACACACTCAAGGGTGTACAAGACTATACAGTTGTACTTTTGATTGTGAATTCTGAAATATATTAAGCCTTTCTCTGCCTACACATGTGCACCGACACACATAAAAACACAGAGCTATTTCCAGCAGAGAGAGATGTGTGGAGCATGAGTCCTTTGATAACAACACCACTTACTTTAATCAGCAGATAACTGCTCCCAGTTATTTTTCATTTTACTGAACTTTCTCTTTTTTTAAGATCATTTTCATTTCCAAGCCTTTTTTCCTCTTTCCATCTCTCCTTCCTCTGCATGAGCCCTCATTCTTAATTTAAGTCATGAAAGTGTAAATTATAAAGGAAAGAGAACACAGAAATACAGGAGCACTCATGCATATGCACCCTCATGGCATTGGATACACTTCTGTTCGAATGACTGTTCAATTACTTAATACACTGTGTGGCAGTGTCTCTTTTTAGTTTTGTGTTAATATCAAAAGTGTTCATCACATGTACACACGCACGGACAACACACACACCTGTGACCAGAGTCTGAGGAGGCTGAAATGCGGCACAGAGCACATCACTGCGATGCTGAACACCTCCCTTCCACTCTGATGGCTCAACAAAAGACTGCGAGAAGGAATGCAGACGGAAAACTGTTAACATCCTGCAGAGACAGAGAGAGACAGAAAACACAGGTAGTGGTGAGAAAATTGAAAAGTATAAAGGTGTGTTACAAACCTCATAGACTTTTCTTTTTACAATAAATTCTGATGTGCTAGCTGGTTTATCAATAGTACAGTAGTAGTAATAGCAATAGCTGAAATAGCTGCAGTAGTAGTAGTAATCATAGCAGTAGAAACAATATCAGTACAGAAGTAGTGATAGCAGTAGCAGCGATAGTAATAGTTGTAATAGCTGTAGAATTAATAGTTGAAGCAGTAGCAGTAGGAGTGATAGTTGTATCAGTATTTGTAATATTAGTACTGATAGCTGTAGAAGTAATATCAGTATAGTAGTAGCAACAGCAGCAGTAGCAGTGATAGTAGTGTCGCAGTAACAGAAGTAGCAATAGTAATAGTTGTAATAGTAGAGTAGTAGTAGTAGTAGTAATGATAGTAAGCCTTAGCAGTTTCAGAAGCAGTAGGCTAATAGCAGCAGCAGTAATAATAGCAGTAGTATAAGAAGTCATAGTAGGAGTAATATAGTATAATTAATGTGCAATGTACAATTGTTGGGTAAATGATTGTACCAAGAGTACAGTCTAGACCTGCTATTATATGAAAATGATTGAAGAAAAGTAATAATAATAGTAGTAGTAGTAGCAGTAGTAGTAGAAGAAGTCATGGCGGTACAAAATCCATATAGCAATTTTAAAAACTGACTTCCAGATTTTCCATGTTAAAGGAAAACGTCTCACAGTTTTGGTATCGTAAATGAAATGAAAAACCGATGCACTGTCAGTGGGATGTGGATATTTCAGCCTGTGTGAGATGGTATGAGCAGCAGAAGGCAATAGGACTTTGAATTAGATGCCATGCGACACAGCACTATATGGATTAAACTGTGCTCTAGGTGGATGTGAAGAAAGAGGAAATGATATGAGTGATGAAAGTCATAAAGGCAGTATTTTCCTTTACTGCTGCTGATCTGTCGTCTATGTTCTCTTTACCGCTGTGACACCCCAGAGAGCAAGACTGTGCGTGCACGTGTGTGTGTGTGTGTGGAGAAGAGAAAGAAAGAGAGAGCGTGAGAGAGAGAGGGAGAGAGTCGTATAACTTGATGATGCTGAGTTCAGCTCACTGGGTGTGAAACGATGATGATGAAGATGAAGAGCAGATGTGATGTGGGTATACAACGAAACACACGCACACACTCACACACGCACACACTCACACACAAATATGAGGTAGTGATACTCGTTAGAGTCCAGATGTCTGGCTGGCTCCGAGTTGTTGGCAGGCAGAGATAGCAGGAGAGGACACAGAAACACACACATTATTTCTCTCTCACACAGACACACACACACACATTATTTCTCACAAACACACCACATCACACCACACACACACACACTCATTCTGACTATTTGACAGGAACAGTCTCTTTCATACACAGTGTGCAACATACACAGTCTATGAGGGTGTGACTGCATCAGAACACCTAATTTGCATACATTTTCAGCATTGCACATCTTGTGTTGTATTCGATATTTGTTGAAAGAGTGAAACAGAAGATGTGTACTGTAAGTAATTAAAAAATGGTTCATATACAGTACCTTTCCCAGCCCATCGCTAGTATACTCCTCTTCAGCAACAGGACCTGTGAGATCTCCACAGCCCGACCCAGGCCAGCGTTCATCCTGTGGAGGCAGCGGCCATTGAAGTCCCACACCTGCAAAAGACGCCACAAATGATACTTGTAAAAACTGTTCACATTGAGGTCGCATTGCAAAAACTTGAAACGATCAGATTCTTTGTGATCTGTGCTGTTCACACATTGTCATGAAACAAAACAAATCTGAGTCACATATGAGCAAAACCATCTGATTTGTGCCATCAAAACACCAAATGAGCTTCACTTCAAAGAAAACTCAAATGTTTGTTAGGATGTTTAGCAGAACATTACGGCACTACACAAAAATGTCACTCTCTTTTTTTATCCTTCACATTCCAAAAACATCTTCTTGTCTAGAAAAGAAAGAGGTAACAGAAACAGTAGCTGCTGTATTCACTTTTTAAACAAGTCCAACAGCTTGTGAAGTTAAGATGTTTTGAAATGAGAATATTTTTTGGCCGCCTACGTAAGTACAAACTATCAAGCTACAATCCTACTGTACATCCATCAAACATGACAACTCAGGTAATATTCTCACACTGTCTGTCCCATTTTGCATGATGACGCAGCTTGGATCTGTGTTTTGGCATTTAACAAAGAAACACTGATTGGCCCAATGGGAACGCTGTAATTAAAAGGTCAAAATTTCAAATTCTGAATGGCCCTAACTGCTACACCACGGGTTCAGTGTTGATGAAAATTGGAGAGATGATGCATCTTGTTACTAATTGGTCCAAGGGGTGCCTGCTTCTTCTGCTGAGGATGACTTGTGTAGTTGTTTCAAATGGCACAGTGATTGTATATACCTGAGACTGCTTGCACATGCACAGGATGCACATGGCTGCATTTTCACAAGAGCTCATGGGGTCAGGGAACTGATGTGGTTGATTATATTGATTAAAATATGCATAATTATAATTATTGTTTCATTTTTTTATTTAATCTGTTGAGAACAATTGCACCAATCTTGGAGTAATTATGCAGTGCTTGAATGAGGAGGGCAAATACAGTCACAGAGCATAATATGTTTAAATTTCCAGCCCAATTTGAAACTCTAAAATAAAAAGCTACATAAGACACAATTCTTCTCACAAAAGACACACATGGTTGCATGTTCACATACATAATTAGAGAGGGTGCAGGCAGAGAAAGCTATAACCTTTATCAAAAACACAAAAATGTGACAAACACTTGTTATGCAAGGTGACAACATGCATAACCAAACACGCACTATCTCACTTATGCACAACCATACAGTAGCGCCAAGATCGAAAACTGGCTGCCGCTATGTCGATAACTTAGTGCCATGCCAGTCCTCATCAGTATCTACAGCGTGACAGACATAAACCCAATGTACTGAGTATAAATCCAGCTTTACTGTGGTCAAGAACTGTGTGCATAGAACACTGTGTGGGTGTCAGTGGGTCCGAGGTAAAATGTATGTGTTATTATTATATATGTTATGTATATGCAGTATGTACATATATGTAAAGATGTTATCAGGAGCAGTGAGCTGAATAGTGGACGCGATGTGGGAAGATCGCTCATACAAAGTGTCGGTAAGTTCAGAGGGGCAGTGGAGGGGTTTATGTGTTCCAGTCTCAAGATATTTAACTAGACTTAGTTTTCAATCAGTTTATTTCATTGAATTAATTTAGAACATTAAACAGACTGTTTCACCGGAACTCTTTAGTAGATGTCCTACACTAGGTATTAATGGACACCCAGCAGCCAATAGTATTCACCCAGACCATGGTATAAGTTATGTATATATATTTAAATAAGTGTATATAAATAACTGTATATGGTTTATTTTATTTTATTTATTGTGTTTTTATAGAAAAGAAATGTTTTTAGTTATCTTTTTCTATCTGAGTAGCATGAATGAACTGCAGACTTTTATTTCATTACACAACCTTGTGTTGTACAATGATAATACATTTCCTTGAATAAAAAAAAAAGTAGCAGAGCTAATAGTTTTATTTATTTATGGCACTCCTGTTTAATTTGGTCAATTTAATGGAAAAGTTTTCATTTTTTAGTAGTAGTTACAAATTCTTGGAAAACATTTTCTAAGAATTTCTAACAGTCTGCCACTTCATTTTCCGCTTCACATCTTTTCATCAAACTCTATTCCCAGCCGGTTTTGCATTTCCGTCAGTTTGCATCTCGGTGAGAATTGACCTGCAGCTATATGGTTCACAGCTGAACGAGTGTGTGTGTGTGTGTGTGTGTGTGTGTGTGTGTGTATGCGTCTGCACACAT